TCACTCCTGTCAGAATGGCTAAAATCAAAAACACCAATAACAATTTATGCTGGAGAGGATGTGGTGAAAGGGGAACACTCCTCCATTGCTGGTGGGAGTGCCAACTTGTTCAGCCACTTTGGAAATCAGTATGGAGATTCCTCAGAAAAATGGGAATAAACCTACCACAAGACCCAGCAACTCCACTCTTAGGCATATATCCAAAAGATGTCCATTCATACAACAAGGATGTCTGTTCCACTATGTTCATAGCAGCATTATTTGTAATAGCCAGAACTTGGGAGCAACCTAGATGCCCCTCAACTGAACAGTTGATAGAGAAAATGTGGTACATTTACACAATGGAGTACTATTCAGCAGAAAAAAAAAACAATGAAATCCTGAGATTTACAGGCAAATGGATGACACTAGAAGAAACCATACTGAGTGAGGTAACCCAGTCACAAAAAGAGAAACATGGCATGTACTCTCTCATATATGGATTTTAGACATAGATCTGGGGAGTGCCAGCCTACTATCCTATGGCCAGAGAGACTGGGAAACTGAACCTTCATTCAGTGGCTGATGGAAAAAGAGGCAGACTCCCACGGCTAAGCACTGAGCCGAACTCAAGAAAGCCAGTAACAGAAAGGGAGGACTGATGACCAAAGGGATTAAGACTGGGCTGGTTTAACCCCCAGAAACAGCTGACCTGACAAGGGTTAACCCTTGAATCCCAGGCTGATGCCTGGGAAATCAGCATGAGACTGATCAAGATCCCCTGAATGTGGGTGTCAGTGAGGAGGCGTAGATAATCTATTGAGCCTTGGGCAGTAGATCAGTATTTATCCCAGGTATACAAATAGACTTTGGACTTCCGTCCAACAATGTGAGATGCACTCTCATCCTGAACTCTTAGAGGAGGGTCTGGCTCTGCCCTGGATGAAATAACAGACTATGGACACCCCCATGGAGGGCCTCACCCTCCTTGGGGAAATGAGAGGATATTGGGGGGTTAGGGGGAGGGCACGGAAGGAGGGGAGGGAAATGGAGAGGGACCTGGAATTGACATGTGAAGCAACCTTGTTTCTAATTTAAATTTAAATTAAAAAATAAATAGTAAAACATAAAAAATAAAAAATATATGAAAAAAATGATTCAGTAATAAGCTTCCCCCAACCCCAGTGGTTCAAATGATAGCATGTCCCTTCATTAACTACCACCCACTACAGTAAAATGCTTCTCTGGAAGTTGCCTAGTTCTTTCTTGCCTCCCCCTTCAGCTTTTCCTACTAGCTATATCCATTCATTTGTGATACCTGCCAACCTGCAGAGCCAATCTCTACCAGGGACCGCCAGTACCCAGACTAGGCAATGATTCAGAGTGAGCAACAGCAATCAAAGAGCAGTAAAGCCATTCAACAAAGATGAGAATGTCATCAAAGTATCATGTCAAAGGCTGAAAGTGCAGACACCTACATCCTATGTCAAAAATGCAAACACGAACAACCAAGACAATATTCCTCCGTCAGATGCCAGAAAACTCTCTTGCAAAAGCACCTGAGAAAAGCAATTTAACAAAGACTTCAAAATGGCAATGATAAATGTGTTCACGGACATTAAGGAGGTTGTAAATAAATGTGTAAGTAAAGACCATAGAAACACAGCCAGCTGAATAAAATAATGAAAACAATTCAAGACATGAAAGTAGAATTTTACAAAGAAATAGAACCCCTAAAGAAAACCAAACTTAAATATCTGGAAATGAATGTCAAACAAAAAAAAATCTCAGAGATAAGCCTCACCAACTGGTTAAAAGATGTGGAAGGGAGATTTCCAGTTCTTGAAGATAAGCTAGTATAAATGGATAGCAGCTGGGTCAAAGAAAATGTTGACTCTAGAAAAAAATTCTGGAACAAACATCTAAGAAATGAAGAACATTTGAAAAAAACAAAAATACAAATAATAGACAGAGAGGAATAAGAAGAAATCTGTGTCAAAGTACAGAGAATACTTTTTTCAATTAGAGATGAAAATATGTCCAATCTAAAGACAGAAATGCCTATTGGGTACAAGAAGCATGCAGGACACATAATAGGGCAAGAAGAGAAGTTCCCTATGACACATAAAACACTAGATATATGCATTAAATTTAGAAAAGATATTTAAAGCAGAAAGGGAAAATAAGCAATCCACATATCAAGGAAGGCCTATTACAATAACACATGAGTTTTCAATGAATGAAGACTCTGAAAACCTGAAGAAGCATGTTCTATAAGCTCTGGGAGACTGCATATTCCATGTCAGACTACTGCACCCAGAAAAATCTTAATCACAAAGCACAGACAAAGAAAAACATTCCACATTAACACCAGTTTAAGCAAACATTTTCCCCAATACAGTTTTACCAAAGGCACTAGAGGGAAAACATGAACCTAAAGATGCTAGCCATACCCAAGAAGACACAGGAATAAATAATCCCAGAGCAGTAAATCAAAAGAGGTGTGAAAATTCCACAGCACAACAAGAAAATAACATGAACCAATAAATACTGTTCATTAATAACTCTCAGTATTAAAGTTCTCAATTCCCCATAAAAAGACTAACATACTGGATAGGAAGATAGGACTCATCTCCTTATAATCAAGGACAAACACCATATTATAATGAAAAGATGGAAAACTGCATTCCAAACAAATGGATTCGAGAAGCAAGCAGGTGTAGCAAGTTTAACACATGACAAAATAGACTTTAAATCAAACTAATTAGAAGATATAGAGAAGGACACGTAATACCCATCAAAGGAAAAATTCACCAAGAGGATATTCCAACTCTAAGTATTTATATATAAAACACAAGGACACCTAAGTTCATATAGGAAATGCTACATCTAAAATCACCATTGACCCTGACACTGTGATAGTGGGTTACTTCAATACCTCACTATCATTAATATACAGATCATCTAGACAAAAATTAAACAGAAACATTGGTGTTAAATAACATCATAAATCAAATGGACCTAGCAAGTGCCTACAGAACATTCCACCCAAACACTAAATAATATGCTTTCTATTCACCGTCTCACGGAACTTCCTCCAAAATTGGCCATAATAACTGTGTTGCTGGGTTCTTCCCAGGGGTCCCTAACTTCTCTAGCTGTGACCTTTGACCATTCTTAAAGTACTAGGCATGATTTCTCTCCTGTGGAGCAGGCCTCAAATCCAAACAAGGAAATAGAAGTGACTGAATGCCCTGCAGCAGATGGTACATCTCTGTCAACACTCTCTTCCCAGGGCTCAGAGATCATCAAGTAGGAATTGGAAAGATGTATGAAGCTGGACGATGGAAATGGGTGCTGAACACACAAAATCATAGCAGCTGTGGGCTTTTTGTACAATATCTTCAGGATAGCCACCCAGCTAAAAATTCTCTTGAGTGTGAGGTAGGAGTGGGGCCTCACGCCTAGATGAGGAAGTATTGGCAGTTGATGGCTGCTAGAAGAAGGAGAGTCACTTTTATTTAGGAGTATGATACCTATGTTCCCATGGAGGTTCTTAGATCTATGTACACAGTGGCACTAATTAGACTCGGTGAGTTTAAAAAATTTTAAATAACTGAATAAATAAGTGCAAAAAGAAAATAAAGTTAGAAGAAGTGTATTGGAGAGTCTTGCAGCCAATTGGAGGTGAGGAGTGTATATGGTCAAAGACACATTGTATACATTTGTAAAAATTTTCAAATAATGAAACAATATGATTTAACAATATGGTTATCACCTAATGCCTCAATGCTAGAGTTATAGTAGTATCAAGGTCATTTAGATAACATTTTTATTATTATAGCTGACAGAAACTCAACTTTATATTACAGAATAAATTAATATGATTTGATTCTATGTTTTCATCGAATAATTATTCAATATAGCATTGGATTTTCTTGTTCTATATTTATAGATTGAGCAAAACCTTGAAACAAGTTCATTTCCTACTGCTGATGTAGGAAACTAGGTGGCAAGAAACGTGCTATCACAGTTCCGAAGGACCAAATGTGAAGTCCAGTATGATGAGCAGGGTCTTGTTTTGTGCCTGTGGAATCCTTTCCTCTTCCAGGCTTTGGCTGGAGGCCTATGCCACTTAGTGTTCTTGACTTGCAGTTCAGCACTCCAGTCCCTGCCTCTGTCTTCACAATGTCCTCCCTGCATGTCTTCATGGCATTAAGACAGTGATCACCATGCATCAGACCCACCCTAATGGCCTCATCCTACAGTCACATTCATAGACTCTTGAAGGTTGAGGTCAACATTTTTCTAGGGACACAATTTAACTTAGCACATTCATTTAAGTTTTTAATCACATTTTTACATGTATAAAGAAAATGTCAACTTTCATTTGCTTTCTCAAATTTAGGGAATTAAAGCACCTTGACAAGCTAAGTCACTAATGTGACAATTCTAACAATTCCAAAGAACTTAGAACTTTAAATATTTTATATAGTTTAGTACAAATATTACTTCTCAATGTTTAGACCCTATAAGCACTGTCACTGACTTTTATTGTATGTAATTTATAACTTGCCATTATAATCAAGCTCAATCAGAGAACTAAGAATCACAATGGCAGGAGACATTGCAAATACTCAGTGTCTTGTGATACTGAAGAGAAACATCTTCCCAGTCAAATGTAAATACTGAGGCTTCTGTGACTCTTTAGTGTGGTCATATATACCAGCAATTCCACCATCCGGGTGATCAGCATGGCTACATGGAACTTGTTGCAGAGGCCTGTGGATCCCTGTCAGCTGGAGGCCAGCCTGACCTAGAGTTAGTTCCAAGTAAGCCAAGAATGAATAGTGAGACTAGAAAATACTGACTGAATCACAATACAAATTCAAGTTTATCGGTTCCTATCAACCAGCTTTTGCTTTTGGATTAGATGTTTAAGAAGTAGTTTTACTCACTACATTTAAAATATGTGTGTAAAATAATCACAGAATTCTTGGCAGAGTTATACTTTGAAGTTTCTACTTCTGTGAAACCTGAGGTTTGTGGAGTTTCTCTTTCAGTCCCAAAAGCTTCGTTTTGAGTTCTCCAGGCTTTGGTGGAATTTCAGGAATTGTCAGGTCAGGCCGGCAGTACCAGTGCGCCACCTGGGCCTCGGAGCACATGGCCAGGAGACTGGAGGTGAGCATTTTCAAGTAAGCAGACCAGGGCATGCCTCCGGGCATGGTGGAAACAGGGAGTGCACAGGCCCAGGGCGACTGGAGGTTCCCGCAAGAGGCCGGACCCTGCATTGAAATTTTTGTGCGTCTAAAATATTATGGTGGTAGCCTGTATGAGTACTGACTGGAGTCACCGAACTATTGAGGTTGCAATTACATTAGAATACTTTCATATTGTGGAGGGAATTCTTACTAAGAATTGCAATTATTTTAGGTATCCTAACTTTATTATTTAATATATCTGAGTGTTTCGCCTACATCTATGTATGTCCACTATGTGATAGGAGTGACAGGATGTTGTGAGCCACCATGTGAGTGTTAGGAACCGAACCCATGTCCTCTGAAAGAGGACATGAGTGATATCAGATGTGAAACCAACTCTTCAGCCCAATACATAAATTTTCCATGTCAAATATTTTATGTTAATTAGTGACATACACTCTTCATAATAATTTTGTTAGCCCAATGTAATTACTCAAAAAAAAAGAGTATGTGTCATTGCCCTTTAAATCTGTAAACATAGAGAACCATGCTTACAGAGAGAAATGACAGCATTCAGTGCAATTGCAAAGGAAACATCATGTTTCCTCTGTGTAATGATGCAGCTTGTCCAGACTCAGAGCTTTTTGCACTTGACATGTGACCTTTGGGATTGTTTTGCATGGTATGCACCTTTCTTGGTGTGAGTCACATAGTTTTGCCAAATGAAATACATTAATTACTGCCATTCTTTTGCATTAGAAATTTGTACACTGCTCCCAGAAGAGTCACGGTTTCAAGTGATTCAAAATCTTAGAACTCTGAAAGGTAAAGGAAATTGTTTTATGCCAAACATGATAAAAGCTTAGTTAAAGGAAGTAAACATTGAATGAATGTTGGACAGACCTAGTTTCCTTTGTGTTCATCTCAAGCATATCTTGAAAGCCCTATTAACTGTGTTAATTTATGTAACAAATGTCACCACAGAATCATGTCTCCGGAAGCTTCTGTGTTCTTGTAGGCACAATTACACTTTTCAAACTTCAAGGGAAAGAAAGTATGACTGTAAAAATACTTACAGGAAGACCTTTTTTTAGATCTCACCGTATAATCGTTCTTATTTTTCTCACCTGTACAGGCAGGCCACTAATCCTCCCTGTTAACTTGCCAGCCTTTGCTTCTGTCAGTTGAATTATTGATCCGTCTCATCAAGCCTAGCATTTGCATTCCATTGCCCTTAACCCTGCTTGCGCCAGATATTTCTCAGGACAAACTGTGGCGTTTCCCTTTCTTCTTGCTGGCATGTGACCATTGTTCCTAACCAGCCATCTTCACTTCTCTGGCAGCCCCAGTTCCAATTCAGAATCCTCCACAGTTTCCAGATGTGAAGGCTAATTATCACTCGCTTGGTTGACATTATTCTAAGTTATGGTGATCTCAAAAGAGTTTCTCTTTGTAACTCTTTACGTGTGTGTGTGTGTGTGTGTGTGTGTGTGTGTGTGTGTGTGTGTGTTTGTACAGAAGCAATTGTTCTATTGGCACACGGGGTCAGAAGATAACTTGTGGGAGTCACTTCCTCCTCCTCAGGTGAGTCCTGGGGATTAAAGCTGTCATATTAGGTAGCAAGTACCAATCTGCAATCAACCATCCTGCCATCCCTGTCTTCATAATAATTCCTATAAAACTTATGAACTATTTTTTTTCTATTTGTATAATTTTTATTGAGTTATTTTCTTTTTTTCTTTATACTTGCATTTTTGTTCATTTCCTTTTATATTCCCTAAGATGCCATAAAAGAAAGGAAATATCTAGGAGTCCCATGACTTTGAATAACACCTACTTAAGATGAATTGAGACTTAGTTAGTAGGACTGAAACACACACTTCTAAAGCTTGAGAACTAAGATTCAAATATATGAAATATATGATGTTTTGCTTCTGGGGTACTTTATTGAGGTTGATTGCTCTAGTTCCACCTACTTGCCTGCAAATTCCACAACTTTCCTTTTCTTAGCAGATGAATAATATTTCATTGTATAAATATACCACATTTTAATTATCCATTCATTACTTTATAGGTAACTGGGTTAGTTTCAGTTTCTGGTATTGTAACTGAAGCAGCAGTGAGCATGCAGGAGCAATTATCTCTGTAGTAAGACATAGAGTCCTTTTGGTGTATGCCCGAGAGTAACATAGCAGGATCTTGGAGTAGATTAATTTTCAGTTTCTGTGGAACTTTCATACTGAATTTTATAGTGTTTGTGCCAGTTTGCAATCCTCCCAGTAATAGTTCCTCCATCCCTGCATCCTAGTCAGCAGATTGATTTTTTTAAATCAATCTTGACCTGAGGTGAGGTAAGATAAGGTTAGGCAGCCTGTGATAGACCACGTGGGAGGAAGGGATAATCAAAGAAATGGGAAATTGAGCACAGTGTGGTAAAGAGATAAAGGAGAAAGTAGAATAGAAGAACTAAATAAGGAGAGGGGTGGGAATGCACAGTTAAAAAATAAAGGAGAATACAGGAAGGGAAACTCACAATAAAGGTCTTTTGAAAAGCTGAATGCAAACATACTACTGTTGAAATTTCCTAAATTATGAATATGTCTAAAGAAATTCAAACTGAGACAGTGCTCCAATGAGACATTTTATGTCACTAAATAAGGTCTCCAGTGCCAGGAAAGGATTACAATTTGTTGAGTCATGGGCCAAAGAGATCCCATAGATTCCCCCCTCATACCCCCAAATCACAGGCCATTTTCAAGGCAATTTGTTACCTTCTACAATCTGACAGTAATGCTGAAGACACTAACTTGTCACCAACATTGAGAAGTCAAGCTGCTGCCCAAGGGATCTGGAAGCTGCAGATCCAAGTGCTAGAAAATACTCTGCACACTACCAGAGGAAAACAGTAATTGTCAAGTTCACATAGTACAAATTCTGTGACCTATAACCATGGCCCACCTACAATGCACACTAATGCAATGGTGACTTCAATGTTAAGGGGGTAACCGACTTCTTTTTGGTTGCATCTAAGGCCCAGTCCATGATCTGAAAGCCATACATGACGCTGCAAAAGTGCCAAGTATCTACAAATAGATAAGTCATGGATTCTAGGGGAAACTTACTACAATTGTTCTTCTAAATGAACACAGCATTAGAATGACTCCTAATGACATACTGCTATTCCCAAAGATCAGGACATAGCTCAACCCTTATTAGAGAAGCTCATTATTTCAGTAGACACCCTCAACTGAACAATATGTATAAAGCGACAGATTTTGGAGCCCTCTGTCCTAAATGAGACATCAACATCAAATTGACCCCCTCAAAGCTAAGGACAATATGCAGAAGAGCCGCAGAGGTGGTAGACAACTCCCAGAAAACAGTTCTTCCACACACCACAGAGCCAATACCCATATTAACACATAGGACCTGTACAGATCAAACCAGACTAAATTCAGCACTCAAAGTAAGAGATACAATGCCAGATCCCTACCAAGAAGCTACATGTATTTTGTGACTACCGGATAAGGGGAAATTACTTTTCTTCAGTGAAATAACCCTGAGTATATCAACCACACACAAGGCCGGCCCCATGTTCAATAGTAGTTGACTAACACAAAATTGACTCCATAGTTTTGTGTTTGCTTGTTTCTTGTCTTTTGTGAGATTTTAGTTAGTTTTGTTTTGTTGTGGCATTTTTTGTGTTTGTTTGTTTGTTTTGATTTAAGATTTTTAATTTGTTGAGAAAGAGGTAGAGAGAACATGATGTCTGGTGGGTATGGTCATATGGTGGATCTGGGTGGGACAACAATATGACTGAAATATTGCATGAAAAAATTAAATAAAAACACAAAAAGTATAAATAAAATTCAATGATACTTATGTTGCTTGTGTTTTTACTGAGTAAAGTATACTCTTATGTTATTAACCCCTAAACAACATTCAACATCAATTATGAACCTCATATTTATATTGAACTGGTTTTACGTAATTAAACATGACTAAAATACTGAGGAGAATGTGAGTAGATAACATAAGAAAAATATGTTTTATATGAGAACCTTAATCATCCTCAGATTTTGGTCTCTGTGAGAGATCCTTGAGTCAGTCAGTCAGTGGCTCCTGGACCCCTGGGATGACTGTATATTGTTGAGCTCGTTTGCTGATAGAACACATGGAAGATAGACCTGAGTCATCAGGGAAATCATTATGTTAGTAAATCTCCACTTAGCAAAGGTAGCTTACTGTTGTCAACCATTATAGTGCAACTAGTGGTGAGTAATTTGATTACTGCTATATAGGTCAGCTCAGAGCCTGATTGGCACAAGTGTCTAAATAACAGAGCTAAACTGTTGCTTCCAAGGCTGGAATGGGAATTTTCTTAGGTAACCTCCTCCCGGTGGACCTCCAGTAATGTCTAACATCACTAAGCTATAGACACTGAGTTTGGACAACAATAGAAATCCCTTATTTTTTTTCTTTATTATGAAATGTCAATCATTTTAAGAAGATGTTGTAGTCTGCTTTTAGCACATGCAATGTCTAATCTTGATTGATAATTACATCTGTAATCAAATAAAACCCAAGCATCTGAACGTATCGGTGCAGTGTTATCTTGATTTGATAATCTGAGGTGAGAATGCCTACCCTAAATCTGGCCTTACGGTGACAGTCCACATAAAGGGGCATGAAAGAGGAAGCTTTGTTCTTTGCCTGCCTGCTCTCTCTCTCCAGCAAGTTCATCTTTCCTACTGCCAAGGCATTACTTCACCGGGATTAGAAGCTTCCTTGGAATTCCAACATAAACTGAAGAACCACTTAAACATCCCCCATTATGGGCTGAGCAATTGCTGGATGCTTAGCCTTTCCATGAAGAGACGGCCATCCTGGATAAACTACACAACAGTCTATAAGCCATTCTGGTAATTTCCCCTTTAATGTGTCTAGATTAAGTCTAGCAGTCCTTTTCCTCCAGAGAATATGAATATAGCATGTAAGAGGGAAATACACACACATGGAACATT